TTTGGAATAATTTATTATATAATAATAGTTAACTAATAGATATATCAACATGGGAAGGGACGTAGGAGAGAAACTGATCCAAGGTTGAGGACTGTTTTAGGGTCTATGTGGAAGAACAGAGGTGGTTGAATGAATTTGAAAGTGCTGATGAGACCGAGTTTGAATTAAATAATAGGGTTCAGAGTAGAACGTAAAGTAAAGCCGGGGAGGGCAACAGACCTGGAACTGAGACTGTAAATTTCAACTGCAGATTTCACTGAAGTTGAAGAGCAGGTTTGGTGAGGGTAAAGGAGTAAGAAATCCGGAATAAAAGAAAATTTTGTTTAGAATGTGGAATACCTTGGTTATTGGTTTCAGAGGTGGAACAGTTCTGGAGAAAAAATACAGGAGATAGTCACATAAGTGGATCCTTGAATGGCAGTGCTGGGGAAAGGTTTATACACCTCCTTTGAGTAGACAGGCAGAGAGGAGAATGGGGAAACCTAAGCTGATGACAGCAGACTGTTAAAAAACTTTCTCCCTAAGATCCCTTCATCTCTAGTGATGGAATGAAGGTTGAATGAAGTTTGCATGGTTTGATGGTGAAAGCCCCAATGCAGTGATAGCTGGCCTGGAAGTTGCACTGACAAGTTAGGAGAATGCCAGCCTTACCTTTTGGCTCATGATATTGAAGATGGGGGGAGAAAAATTCTCTGCATTGGCATCAGTTTGCTTATAAAAACGCTGGAACTTTATTCTGTTGGCAACTGGGAGCCACTGGAAAGTTTTATGCAAGAGAGTGACATGATGAGCTTTGAATTTTAGAAAGCTCACCTGACAGCACTGTAGTATGGTGGATGCACTGCACAAGGAGTACAGAGATTCCTTTGGGAGAAAGGGTTGGTAAAAAGGTCCATTCCACATAGGTGATGAGGTCTTATCATTAGCTCACCAAAACAATGAGGTCAGCTGTGTAGGAAGTAGAGACTACAGTGAAGGAAAGGAGTAAAGGCAGTGGACAGACTTTCACCTTCTTTCTGAAGCTGTTCTAGCACATCTGATCCTGCATTGTTCAAAGCACTTCTGATCCTCCATTGAACCTAGGTATGTAATTGCCAGTTATCCCCAGTTTACTTCCTTCTTTCTCTTCTGTCCCCCAAATCCACTCATCTTGCTCTATTTAATATTCTACTTGTTTATTTTATTACTTTTAAGAAATATTTTTATTGATTTCAGAGAGGAAGAGAGAGGGAGAGATAGAAACATCAATGATGAGAGAGAATCATTTATTGGCTGCCTCCAATACACCCTCTAGTGGGGACTGAGCCCACAATCCAGGCCTATACCCTGACTGGGAATCAAACCGTTACCTCCTGGTTCATAGATCAGTGCTCAACCACTGAGCCGTGCTGGCCTGGCTCTATTTGTTTTGTTTTTTTAACATTTTTTTTTGGTCTTGCTATTCCCATTTTTAGTACACACCTTGGCTAAACCAGTGTGGTAATAAAACTTTCTGAAGGTAAAAATCTAAGGGCAGTGTGGTACAGTGAAATGTGCAGCATCCTGTAACTTGAATGGGCTGGTTTCTAGTCCTAGGCCTGCCGTGAAATTCCCGTATGATTTTGGTTAACCCATTTGACTTCTTTGGAACTCAGTTTTTTAAATTTAGAAAATAAATCTCTAAGGCAGTGATGGCGAACCTTTTGAGCTTGGCATGTCAGCATTTTGAAAAAACCCTAATTTAACTCTGGTGCCATGTCACATATAGAAATTTTTTGATATTTGCAACATAGTAAAACAAAGATTTATATTTTGATATTTATTTTATATATTTAAATGTCATTTAGCAAAGAAAAATCAACCAAAAAAATGAGTTCGCATGTCACCTCTGACACGCGTGTCATAGGTTCGCCATCACTGCTCTAAGGTGTTATCCATTTCGATTTGCATACCTGTACAATACTATAGGTTAACATATTTTCATGACAACAGTGAAATTACCTTGTTAATGTAGCACTACAAAATTAGAATGGTGCATACACATTTTGAAGAAGCCTGTTTTAAGAAACCTGCTTAATAAATAGAGTAATAAAGTTTGAACAGGTATTGTACTCCCACACATTTTCCCAGACTAGAATAGTTATGTTTAATAGGATAAGTCCTACTTTTCCTCCTTTGGAAGTGGAGGGTGGCTCTCATTTGTGTTACCACACATCTCCTGAAGTAAAAGTGCCTTCGCTTGAAGTCACGGCTCTGCTACTTAACAGCTTGTTATCTTGGGCAAATAACTTAACCTCTATGTTTCTTCATCCATAAAATGGGGGTAATACTGTATCTCATATTGTGCAGATTAAACAAGTCAATATATGCAATAGCATTTGGAATAGAGAAGGCCCTGGATAAGTATTAGCTATTATTCTTGTGCTGGGCACTAGTGTGCATAGATATGGTCTCTCTCCTTAAATCATTCAAATGACTGTAACTCAATATTTTGAGTTCTGTAACAAGATGTGTAGTAAGTGATATAGGAGCAGAGGTGGGAATGCCTGTCTCATCCTTGAAAGGTAGGGGCAGGATTAGCTTCTCGAGGGTGACGTTTGATCCTTAAGGAAGATAACTTAATTTGGGAAATACGGAGCAGCCAGGGCAGCGTTGGGAAGGCCATGGCTACAAAAGACAAATATGGCTAGGAGAGGGAGGCTAAGTGGTAGATTATAGGTACTTGATGCCGGAGCATCAACATTGCTTGAAAGCTTGTTAGAAATATAGGATCTTAGGCTCTATCCAGACCCACTCAATCTAAATTTGCGTTTTAGCAAGATCCTCAAATGGTTCCTGTTGAACATTAAGGTTTGAGAACCACTGGTCTAGAGCAGGTTCTGGAGCCAAGCTTCTGAGGTTTAAATCCTGACTTTCCCCTCTACTTACCATGGGGGACTTTAGACAAGCTATTTCATCTACCTATGCCTCCATTTCCTCCTTCAAAGTTCCTACCTCATAAAATTAAGGACTAAATGAATTAAAGAACATGTGAAATGTTTAGGACAGTCCTGGAAGCTCATCAGCTATAATTCTTGACTAATAGGCTACTTATCATGGTCAGGGTTGATTTGATAAGCAGCCTGTCTTTCCCTTTCTCCTCCAGCTCCGGTCACCTTGACGTTGGTTGTAGAGGAAGACACCTGGCAACCAGAAGACCTGGGGTTATAAAGCCCAGCCCCCTTCAAATCCCAGCTTTGTGACACTGGGTACGTTCTGGAATATCTGCATTCTTCTGATTCATGGTAGGGAGGAATCTTAATTATACCTGCCTCACTGAGATGCTGTGAGGCTCAATTCAAAGAATGTACTTTAAACCGAAAAACCCATGAAGGTTTCATTCATCACCTTTCCAAGAGTCTTACGGAATTGGACTGGAAACAGGTGGTCCTCTCAAATGAGTGGGAAATAGATGGAAGAGGACGCATTGAAAGATCAGAGGGAAAGGGGGGGAGCTGGGGACTGCGTGTCCCACTTGACTTCCTGCAGGGCAGGCGTGGGTTTTATGGTAACCATTTTCCTGGACCGCAGGGCATTTGCAGCTAACGGAAAATAGGACACTTAAATGGGGTTCCTTGTTCTCTTTCTAACCTACAGCACCATTCAAGAACATGAACAGCCCTGGCCGGTTTGGCTCAGTGGATAGAGCGTCAGCCTGCGGACTGAAAGGTCCCATGTTCAATTCCGGTCAAGGGCACATGCCCGGGTTGTGGGCTCGATCCCAAAGGGGGAATGTCAGGAGGCGGCCGATCTATGATTCTCTCTCATCATGGATGTTTCTATCTCTCTCTCCCTCTTCCTTCCTCTCTGAAATCAATTAAAAATATATATATATAGAACATGAACAGTCTCACACATGTGCATAGTGTCCACAATTTACAAATTAACTGTTTTTCTCCGTGTTATATCACAACATCCCCGCAGGGTAGTACTGACCCCATTTTTTTTTTCAAGGAAACTGTTAATATCAGAAAGCATATTAAAAACCTCTTTGACTTGAGCATTTTGTTTTGTTGTTGTTACCAGTTCCTATGTTTCCACAAGTAGAAAATGTAAGAGGGAGGGCAATCACAACATTTGACGGAATCTTCAATACCAGGGACTGACTTTGATTTTTATGGCCGCGAATCATCGGATACTGGGCCTCTTTTCTTGTCTGTAAAACAGGGACAACGACACCTTCTTCACAAAACTGTCCTGTAAGAACAAAAGCTAAAGGGTGAACCTACCAGCTCATCGGGCCTCAAATAAACCCCGTCTCCTTCTCGCCTCTGACAGATACGGCACGAGACAGCACTATCACTCCCACTGCACAGGCGGAGAAACCCGAATTCCAGGACGCTTAGGGTCCCCTTCTCCGCAACTCTGTAACCCCCTGAACAGGTACAAGCCACCTGTGCGGTCCACTACATCGATACATCGATTCTCCTAGCGCAGGTTAACTCTCGCGAGTTGCGTCGGGGGAGGGGGCAGGGTTAGAAGCAGCTGATAATTGCTCCCATGAATCTGATCCTAATCCTCCACGTCACTTCAGGGACGTCGCTGCTCCCCTTCCCAGTCCTAACCTCGCTTGGAGTAAAGGTCGCGGACCTACCACGATTCCAACTACCTACACCATTTTGGCCGCTACGTGTGACGCAGCACGTAGCAGAGAGCGCAGCTGATTGGCTGGGAGATGGCAGCCGGAGGCCAGGCGCGCGAAGCCGGAGCGGAGGGGATGGAGGAGAAGCCAAGGAAACTACAATCCCAGTCCCCCTTGCGCGTGCGGCAGCCGACCGAAGAGTTTGGGTTCGGACCACAACTCCCAACGCCCCTCGCGATGTCTCTCGTTTCCTTTCAAAACGCGGAGGAAAAGAGGAACAGGGAGAAAGGAGGCTTTCTGCGGGCTTTTCTTCCAAAGGCGGGAAAGGCGAACTACATTTCCCGACCGGCAGCGCGCAGCTGCGCCTGCGCCCTGATACCTGTCGCCATCTTGCCCCTTCTGAGGCACCGCAAACAAACCCAATTCCTGGTGTCCCCTAGTCGTGGCGGAGGAGCCTTTTAGATGAGCCCCGAAAGGCCGGGCAGGTGGGTGACTCTCAGACAGGGTGCCGGGAAGAGCTGGCAGATTAGCCAGGCTGGAGGAGCCCTGGGCTGAGCAGGCAGAGCCCGGCTTGGGGCGCCCAGCCCCATCCTCCGTTGTCTCCTAACGGGATCGTTGGGTTCCCGAGGTGGGCTGAGGGGGGACTCTGGCAGGCCTCGTGCTGGGGGATCTGGGGTTCCAGCCCAGGGAGCCTCCTGGTGAGTCTCGGTCATCTGCCTGGCTGTCCACGCGCCTCCTCTCTCTCCGTTGTCCTCTCCGCAGAGGAGGGAGCGAAGCGCTGAGGTTGGCCGGGGCCCCTGACAGCGCTGCTGGCCCCGAAGGGCTTGGGTCGCGGGCTCGGTAGCGGGGTCGGCGCCGCCCGGACGCGGTGCGGAGGGTGGGCTGGCCTCGCTGGTGGCGCTGCGAGAGCGCCTGTGTGGGGAGGGGGCGGGGCGGGCTTGTCTCCTTGACACTTGAGTCGGGGAAGGATTGTACGAGATCCTGGTTCCGGGATCCGGCTCCGGCCACCGCTGCCCAGGGTTCCAGCGCGACTCGGCCCCGCG